TCCAGTAAAATATTGAGTTTGGAGCCAGATATAGATCAAATATTGTTGTAATTGTGGGAGTTGTTCTCGTTCCTCCATTTCAATATTTTATGTCTGACCTATATGTCTCGTGATTTCTTGCTTGGCTTCTTATTTCCTATTCTTGTTTTCCGTAAAATAATTCAGTTATTATTATTATTATTATTTGAGGGCTGTATTTTGAGGTTCTACTTTGTTGGTTGTAATTTCTCCATTTCAATATTTTATGTCTGACCTATATGTCTCGCCATTTTTCCCTTAGCTTCTTATTTCCTACTAGCAGTAGAGCCCGGCATTGCCCGGGGATGTAACAGTAAGAGATAGATCAAGTATCGACCATCATAAAGACTGAAAAATAAAATTGACAAAGATTATTCTTTAAGGTTGACGGACAAGCATGTCTTAATTAGTTTTTTTTTTTTTTGTTTTTTTTACAAATTGGTCAAACTCAAACTCAAAAAAAACATTGTTTTCAATCGTTATGAGTCTACCGATTGAATAGAATTTTATTATAAACAATTGTCTTGTAAATTGAATTTTTAAGGCATTCTGAATGTAAAAATAAAGAAAAAAGTGTGCAAGACAATAAGAAACACTACCGGCCAAAAAAAGTGAAGATTTGTTGAAATCAGTTGAAAAATGTAGGAAATCCGATCCCATATATAAACGAACACACACACACACACACAAACAACCTGGGTTTTATAATAAGTATAACTCGATATGAGTCGTCCCCCTTTCATTCTCGTTTTATCGTGTTTTCAAATTGATTTCGCGCAAAAACAATTGTGTTTTTCAAATTTTTGGCACTGTCTGAACCACCGCAAGGTAATTTTACGTAGTTCTTTGAAGTTTTGTTGAAATCGGTTGAAAAATGTAGGAAATTCGATCCAATATATAAACAAACAGACACACACACAACCTGGGTTTTATAATAAGCCTGATTCTTGTTTTCCGTAAAATAATTCAGTTAGTATTATTATTATTTGAGGGCTGCATTTTGAGGTTCTACTTTGTTGGTTGTAATTTCTCCATTTCCATATTTTATGTCTAGTTTATATGCGTCATTGTTTCTTCCCTGACTTCTTGTATACTATTTTTGTTTTACGTAAAATAATTCGGTGTTTAAGATGTTTTGGACTCGTTTGCTTGCAAGCTTGTGAGCGACGCCATTCTAGCTCTTCTAAACTTTCATCATTATCTTCATAGTGATTGGTGCGTATCTCAGTTTCTTCATTATGATCTGCAAGCGATGCTAGTACTTTTTATGTCCACTTCTGGTTCCCTTTCATGTTTTGGAGATTCACCTATTCTTGTTACAGTTCTTTCTATTTCTTTAATTTCAGCATCTGTCAATCGGTTAATTCTCACGATTTACCTTCTTAGCTTGGCTACTTTATTTTCGTCAATGTCCTTTCTAATTGCTTGTCCAACCTTCTCTGGCCAAATGTCAAATGTTTGGCGGGTGATGCTTTTCTGAGGTTTGTAGAACGCTTCATAGAATGCAGTCAAAACGAATTTGTACTCGTCACGAAACCTTTTCTTTCTTTTAAATTAATGGTTGTGGGTCTATTCGGAGAATTCGAAAGGCCATCATTGGGATTATCGCTGTTGTGGGGATCTGAAGATTAATTCTTTGTGTAGGAGTTTCTTCCCTATGTCAGATATTTCGACCACAGGTAGGTTCCTTCCTCAGGGACGTGCTCCATGTTTATCCTCTGGAAGAGCCATACTGGAATATTTGGTTTCACTTTTTGTTCTCATTAGTTCCCACGAGTGCCGCACGAGCCCAGAAGTCCACTCAAAGTTGCCCGGTACATTGGGTAACGGTTTTTACAAACAAGGTTCCGAAGACTGTAGGAGATCGTTCGCGACCTCATAACGCAGCAGCCATTCACTCCTCGACACGATAAAGACCTTTAGTTGCGAGTTCTTGATCTGAGTTTTTGTTCTCTTTAAAAATAAACTGACCATAATAAGTTTAAACTTAGTATAAATCGTACTGACCACTACTATGGAAAGTCAGGTGGACATACATGGTAGGTTATCACGAGAAAAAAAAAAAATAGGTAATCAGCCAATACGTCTTTTATCCATGCGCATACACGCAGATATACATATATATCCATATACACATTGGGCTCCTCGAGGTGGTGTGATGGTTAACAAGCTTGTCTCGCTAGGGCAATTACGACTGAATAGTGAGTTCAGTTCTCGCTGGGTGCCCCATACTTTCGGCCTTGTGCCACATCTAAGCTAAGCTTGGAAAATCAGCACAGTGTAACCCGGATATAAGAGAGTTGTCGGGACCGGAGAAAAAGTCTCTTATATCCGGGTTTCTCTTATATCCGGGTTTGGTCTAATTTATATACATTAACACAGGCTCTAATTTGGGACCAGAGAAAATCTCTCTTATATCCGGGTTTCTCTTATATCCGGGTTACACTGTATATACATAAACACAAATCGATAAAGATATATTATGCCGAGTTAAAAAAAAAAAGCACGGAAGGTTTCGCTGGAAATGTGAAAAAAAATTAAAATATAGATAAATTCGAATAAGGATAAAAGAAAAAGAAAATGAAAAAAATTCAAGTTAAATAAAGTCAAAGTGACTTAAAATAGAATTGAAGAAAAGAAAAATGTGATTTCAAATTTGGATTATTATTATTTTCTTTCTTTCTTTTCTCGTCCTCTCTCTCTCTCTCTCTCTCTCTATATATATATATATATATATATATATATATATATATATATATATATATATATATATATAAAAGAATAATCACACATAAAATTAATCAGAAGTATCAATGCGATTATTGGCGACATCCATCGCTAGAAAACATAATATATGCATTAAAATCCTGTTCATCCATAGTGCGAGTTTTGATCCTTGAAGAAAAACTTGTTGTCTGTAGTTTTTCAGTTTATTTGATGTTAAAATGCTAGTACTTACGGACAGTCTTCCATCCATCATCAGGCATGTGTTTTTTTCCTAAAAAATCAAAAACTTGAGACGATATACCTGTATGTCGAACGAAAGATGTTTTTGAATATCTGCTATTATTGACGGTTGTAAGATATCGGAAAAATATCTTACAACCGTCAATACAGCAGATATTCAAAAATCTTTCGTCTCAAGTTTTTGTTTTTTTTTATAGGGAAAAACACATTCTAGAAAGAAATTCGGATTATCAACACACAAACAGAGAATGTCTCATATCGAGAATATCTCACATTGAACATGAAGAAAAATTAATTATTTTAATAATATTATTTTTAATAATATGTAGAAATCTCCACTTTTACCTGAAGACGGTCGCGAGACTAGAAACACGTGTCGTAGTAAAATTATGTAAAACAAAGCATAATATTTTTTCTAAATAAATCCACATTACAACCAAAAACGTTTGCGGCACCTCTCTTCTCTTCTTTTTTAATATACATACTTTTCTCTCGTTGGAACCACTACAACATATTTCTTTTTATATATATATATATATATATATATATATATATATATATATATATATATATATATATATGTGTGTGTATATGTATTTATTATATTTGTCTCCTTGTTCCCCTTCTTTCTTTGTTTTCTTTTCCATTCTCTTTTCGCCCTGGGGCACGTCCACCCCATTCCACGCAGAGGGACGAACGCGCCACAAAAAGAGGACACATGTTTACCATACCAACATCTGCCGTTTTGACGATCGTTCAAACCAAACCTCTGTCTATCTTTTTTGATCCTTCTGTAAACCAAACCTTTGCATTTCTCTTTCTCCTGCAAACCAAACCCCTGTTTAAATGTTTTGATTTTTCTGCAATCCAAACCATTGTCAACCTTACTGTTTCTTCTTCAAACCAAACCTCTGTCTACGTTTATGATTCTACAATCCAAATCCTTGTGCACCTTACTGTTTGTTCTGCAAACCAAACCTTTCTCTGCCTATTTGTTTCTCGTACAAATCAAACCTCTATCCACCATTTTGATTTTTCTGCAAAAGAAGTCATTCTTTGCCTTTCTGTTTCTACTGCAAACCAAACCTCTGACAAACTTATTTGATCCTTCGGCAAACCAAACCTTTGTCTTTGTTACTGTTTCTCCAACAAACCAAACCTCTGTCTACGTTTTTTGATTCTTCTACAATCCAAACACCTGCTACTGCGAACCAAACCCTTGTCTGCTTTTCTGTTTCTCCTACAAAACTAACCACTAACAAACCTATTTGATTCTTCTATATTCCAAAATTTTGTGTATCTTTCTGTTTCTCCTGCAAACCAAACCTCTGCCAAACTTATTTGATTCTTCTGAAAACCAAACACTTCTCTGCCTTCCTGTTTCTCCTGCAAACCAAACCTCTGAAAATATTATTTGATTCTTCTACAAACCAAACTCTTGTCTGCTTTTCAGTTTCTCCTACAAACCAAAGACCTGTCAAACTTTTTTTATCTTCTGCAAAACAAACCCATTGTCTGCCTTTCTCTTTCTTCTACAAACCAAACTCCTGTATAAACTTTGTGATTCTTCTGTAATCCAAACGCTTGTCTCCTGCAAACCAAACGGTTTTTTTATTCTTTTACATTCCAAACCTTGTATACCTGTTTCTTCATCAAACCAAACCCTTGTCTACCTTTCTGTTTCGCATGTAAACCAAACCTTATTTGATTCTTCTGCAAATCAAATCCTTGTCTACCTTTCTGCTTCTACAAATCGAACCTCTGCCTACCTATTTTTTTATTCTTCTGCAAACCAAACCTCTGTCCACCTGTTTGATTAGCCTGTAAACCAAACCATTATCTGCTTTTTAGCTTCTTAGCCCTCCTATTTTTCTGCAAACCATATATAGGCTTAACTTAAGGGGTTCCTGAGATTTCTGTCTACGATTTTGATTCTAACGAGACCTATGTCTAATTTTCTATTGTACGGCAGAATTCGGCGTTAAATAAGCTGGAAATATGATAATCAGTAATAAATGGATAAACCTTATTCCCTTATTGCTCCTTCTTCTTCTCTTCTTACCTTTTCTTTTTGTCTTTCTTTTCCTCCTTTTCTTCTCTTGTACTTCTTACTTTTGTGTTATTTCTTTTCTTCTTCTTTCTTTCCTCTCCCTTTGTTTCCCTTGCTTCATTCTTTCTTCTACTCTTTTTCTCATTCACGTCTTCTTCTTCTTCTTTTATTCTTTGTTCACTTCTCCTCCTATTCTCGCCTCTTCCTTTTTGTTTTAACTTTTCTCTTCCTTATTTTGATACTTCGCTTTATCCTCTTTTTCTCTCCTGATCTGTCTTCTCTTATATTTTCGTTTCCTTCCTCCAATCTTTCTTTCTTTTTCTTTCTTTCTTCTATTTTATCTTCCTTATTCCTTTCTATCTTATTATCCTCTGTTTTCTATCACTTCTTTATTCCTTTCTGTCGCATTCTTTCTTTCTTTCTTTCTTTCTTTCTTTCTTTCTTTCTTTCTTTCCTTTCTTTCTTTCTTCTATTTTCTTTCTTTTGCTTATTCCTTTCTGTCTTTTTTCTTTCTTTCTTTCTTTCTTTCTTTTTTTTTTTTTTTTTACCTTATTCCTGGCTTCATATTGAAAAAGACGTTCCAATTCCCAACAGACACAACGTTTACACAAAATGAGAAGGCTGCCATCTTGGAAAAGGTAGAATCCATAAGAACGCCGAGTAAAAATAAAATACATTCGATTAAGATTTCTGTGTGCACTGACATCCCGCTGGCAGCGAGCCATTACCCCGAACCACCGCCACCCCTTGCCGAAATAGTCTGCCTTGTTCTTTTAACCATTTATTTTGGCAGTTCTCTGGAGCATCCTCATCCTAGAGCCATTACCTTTCCGCCTCTCTTTCACCTTCTCTTTGTTTTGTCGTCTTTATGCCTTTGTCTTTCTTTGCCTTTCTTTTTATTCTGCTAGCGTAATGATGACGGATGAGTCTTCACTGAGATAACGTCGGAAGATAAGCGTCTCTTTTTTTTTTCTTTTTTTTCTTTTCTTTTCTTTTTTTATTTATTTATTTATTTATAACTGACGATTGCCTTCTCTGATGCCCAGGACAGTCGGTTCACAGGGGAATAGAACTCAACTGAGATTCTCCCAATCCGAGTTTTCTGTTCAAATGCTAGCGTTGTCTTTCGGACAATGATAAATTTCACATTTGTTTTATTTTTTATTTTTTTTTTTTAAAACGAAGGTGGCATTTGCTTGCCACTTGTTCAATTTTGCCAGGACTTTTTTTTGCCTGCATTTTTTTGGAAATTCAACTCTCTTTCTTTCTTTTCCTCCTCTGTCTATCTCTTTCTCTCTCTACTGACTCTCTCTCTCTCTCTCTCTCTCTCTCTCTCTCTCTCTCTCTCTCTCTCTCTCTCTCTGTATGGCTCTTATTCGGCTTCCATTAGCGCCGTCCATCGATTATTTGCAAAAAACTACTTTGCATTTGGCTCGGACACGAATATTAAGTTCTTGCGAACATTTGAGCATTTCGATCTTTCACGATTGACTTTTTTTTGTTTTTCTTTTGCTGTTTGTTTTTTTGTGTGTGTGTGTTTTTTTTTCTTTTTTTTTTTTTAGTCTGGGCGTATCTGTTGTTATATCTCAATCTGTCCATATTTATCTATATACTTAGCTAGCTAGTTACGTCATTCGTTTTGTATATATATATATATATATATATATATATATATATATATATATATATATATATATAGATATATGTATGTACGTATGGCAGTCTGTCCATATCTACTAATCAATTAATGTCTATTAATGTGTATCTATCTACAGAGACCGCCAGCTATGTATTTCAGTCTTTTCTTTTCTTTCTTTCTTTTTTTTCTTTCTATCTATCTATCTATCTATCTCAGACTGTTCCTATCTATCTATCTATCTATCTATCTATCTATCTCAGTGTGTTACTAATCTATCTACCTAGCTATCTATCTCAATCTGTTACTTATCTATCTATCTCAGTCTGTTAATATCTATATACATAGATAGATTATCTCTCTATAGATAGATTATCTATCTATCTCCTTTCACTCTCTCTCTCCTTTTCTCTCTCTTTCTCTCTCTCTCCCTCTCTCTATAATTAACTATTTTCAACATATCTCATTCTATGATATCTGTCTGTTTTTATCTATGTATTCCTATTGATATTTCTCAGTTCATTCTTATCTATCACAGTCCATATCTCTCTCTCTCTCTCTCTCTCTCTATATATATATATATATATATATATATATATATATATAATCTGTCTGTTATTTTTTATTTATTTTATTTAAAGGATATTTTGATGGATATTCATATTCGAGTAGAAGCTATGTTTTTATTTTATTTTTTAATTAAACAGTTTTTGTTTTTTTATCCAACTACGCTTGAATATTCGTGAACTCTTACTAGAAAAATATACGTCCTCCGGCAGGATTCGAACCTGCATTCACTTCGGGGAACCGTCATATTTTTAATCTGATGTGCTTAACCGCTCGGTCATGTAGGATTTACGATCAAAAAAGAGCCCGCATATTGCCTTTTGAACACACACTCTCTGACGAAGTCCTACGTAACCGAGCGGTCAGTCACGCCAGATCCAATGACGGTTCTCTACAGGGATGCAGATTCGAATCCCATGCATATTTTTCGGCTAAGATTTCTTAAATATTCTGGCCGATAGATGTAGTTGGATAAAAAAAAAATACTGTTTAATTTAAAAAAAAAAACAGATCGTCTACTTAAATATGAGTAACCATCAAAGATAACGTTGAAACAAAATAAATTAAAAATAACAATATGTCGGATTTAATCCATATATATATATATATATGTGGGGGGGTGAGTTCCTATCTAATTAAGTATTTTCTACATAACTCAATCTAAGATACTATTGTGGGGCTCGCCCCTTGTACACAAGATGGACTTGCCCAAAGTATATTTATACTAAGGAGAGGTAGCATGACAAAAACGTCGAGACAGGGTGTTCATCCAGAATATATACGAGAGTCCAGAAAGAGAGATGATTACGGCTTCACTTACTGAGACTTGTACATATACTTTTCTACTAACCCGCATTCCTGGACTACTAATCTTCATTTCAAGTTTGTATTCTTACGTTTAATATACATATTTTTCTATTTCAATGACTGGCGTTGTTTATTTATTTGTGCAGGATTCCATCTTGTTTTCCGTAAAATAATTCAGTTCAATGTGTTTTGGACTCGTTTTATTGTAGGTTTGTGAGCGACTAAGATCCCGCCTTGTCAACGCTTCTAGTATAATACAGTCCGTTTAATATACATATTTTTCTATTTAAATTACTGGCATGTTTATTTATTTGTGCTGGATTCCCTCCCCGGACTCTACAACAGATACTAAGTCTGTTTTTTATCTATCTATCAGTTTTATCATAGTTTTATATATATATATATATATATATATATATATATATATATATATATATATATATATTATGAGGAAGCGCGACTTGGATTGAGGAATCGGAGAGCCGAGTTCGAATTCCAGTCGAATCCATTATATTTACTTATTTACCCTTGGGAATGGTAGTATGAATCTTCTTCTTCTCTCTCCATCTATGGGTTAATAGCAGGACAGTCTAGGTTCTATAGACTTGGAAGGACAACTCTGAATTCAAAACCTATGGAGGGTCTTTTGGCACGTTGTCGCACCAGTTCTCTGTATTCGGCCCTTCAAAAAGTGTATATGGTTCTGCCCAAAACCTTCACCACTATATTTCAAATCTCATGTGCTGGTGTCGGGCTGTCGGTTCCTAGGAACTGATCTGCTTGACCCTCTTACGTCGAATTCGACGGGAGAGTCGAATATATATATATATATATATATATATATTGAACAATAAGAAAATAAAAAAATTAAAATCTTTAGACACACTGGGTTGTAGATTAATATTCTTTCGTTTTTTTTATTATTATTCCATTTAGATTCCTCGACTAGTTTCGATCGAAATGGCCATCATCGGGAGGAGAAATATTTCTGCTTGCTGGTAGCACTAAACTACAGAAATTAATGTCTTTTGCTGGAGAAAATGAACTTTTGTCTGTAGTTTTCATTTGTTTATTTATTTTTTTATCTTTTTAACAGGAATCTTTTAACATTCCTTGTGTTGGTCAAACAGTCTCTTTTAAGTTGTTACTTGAGATATAATATATATATATATATATATATATATATATATATATATTGAACAATAAAAATATTAAAAATTTTGAACAATAAAAAATATGAGAAAAAATATTAAAAAATTAAAACACTGGGTTGTATATTAATATTCTTTCGTTTTTATTATTATTTCATTTATATTCATCGACTAGTTTCGGCCAACATGTCCATCATCAGGAAAAAAATAAGCTTTTACAGAACTCGTCATTTGAAACGCAAAGCTAAGCTGTCGTTTCTTCTTCTCTATGACTAACAGTGACATTTCAGCCTCAATGTAATAATGTGACTATCGAATCAGAGTTTGAAATGATAATTTTGATGATGATTAAAAGATAGCTGTTTCGTTTTGGAGGCATCAGAATTTACATGCCATTCGTTACCCCAGTTAACAACTGATTGGCGATTATTTTCGCGATAAGCTACCAGTTTTTCTTTGTTGGTCCTGTCGGACTTGCTAGTAAGACAGGGATATAAAATAGTTGGGAACTGACGACACCAGGAAGGTCGTTGGTGAAGATAAGACACAGGGTAGGTCCAAGCATAGAACCTTGGGGGAACCCCTGTCATTAATTTGAAATGATCCAGAAGCGAGCCTATCTCAGATCTCAGATTATCGACTCGGAGTTTGAAATTAAAGCCGCTTTTTTCTACTTTTTCAATCACTAGTTTTAAAAAAAAAAAAAAACGCCTCTGGGAACTTTGCATACAGAGATATATGTAAACACTCCTCTGCATATATTTTGGGGTACGCTTAGAACATATTTTTTTATTCATTCGACCTCACTTGGGATCATAGATTTCACAAACTCTCGCCGAATTTAATTATGAACGGGATACTCTTTTCACGTTGCCTGTATAATTTGTCCCTCGTGGCGGCTATATTCAATTCAGTTTTAATTCCGTGTTTTCCATCTAATGGACTGGTTACCAATTACAGCTAGATATCCCTGTTCACACTGCTATTTAATTCATAAATGAGGACATAAGCGATGGATTCATACCGTCCCCAAGGATATTCGCGTGAAAGTGGATGAAGCGAACATGGCCGAAGTTCCAACTCGGATGGCTAATTTTCTTTTTCCGCTAATCATTCCACTACCCGCAAAATCATAGAAAGACACATAAACACACACACAAACAATCGTTCCGCTGTTTGATTGGTTTTTATCGTTTCATCCCAATCAAGACAAATAATGCCGCTAGAATTCGGGGGTTACTGACAGAAAAAAAGAAGACATTATTTAGGAGAAAGGACAATAAAAGAACAGGTCTCAGTATGACAAAAGATGGCGATTGACGTTGCATTTAAATTTTTGAAGATTGTCGTTGGCAGGGAAGCAAGAAATCTGAAGGGGTTTCGATGAGTGATAATTTCGGTGAAAGAAACTGTTAGAGTCGAAGTGGCGTTCGCATCTAGCTAGTTCAACATAAAACGGTGGGACCTAATTGCCAATCTAGTAGTATGCCTAAATTCGTGCGGTCGAGGTAATAAAGAAGAGAGCCATTAAAACACCCACTATAAAACTATTTATAGATGGAAGCCACGTTATGGCGGTGGGATAGTGAGTCGAGATGCCAAGTCAGGTCTGATAATATTGCACACCGTCCTTTGAATTTTGTTAAGAATCTAGAGATATATAGCAGGAGCATTAGACTAGATATGACAACAATATTCAATGTACAGATGAATTGTAAACTTATAAATGTACTAGATGGATTCTGACACAGTGAACATTTTTTTTTTTTAATATCGTACCAAGTATCTGGATAAACACAATCACTCCACTTCCCGTCAGTTGAGACCAAGAATCTTCTTTTTATATTATAAGAATTATTTTTAGATAATAATGGTTTAGTCATAAAGGTCTTACTAATTAACCCAATACTGGAGGTAGAACAGACTGATTAATACCTTTTTCCAACGTTGTTCCACTATTTTAGTTTCGGATTGAGGTCAAAGGTTACCTTGATACGGATGTTGAGTGTGTTATTTATTTATACCGGCGGAAATATTTTGTCATTAATTTAGTCTCTGAAAAACCGCAAAAATATGCAAGCAACAGTGATTCATTTGTCCTCTAATAAATGGTGAAGATGTACCACCGAGTGGCGATAATTTAACATGACAGGACTCTGTTATTCCAAACATTTCTAACTGTCTTTTCTCTTTGATCTCGCTATTCCTTTTCATGCTTTTTGTTTTTTCTGCACCCGACAAAGCAATTTACAGATATTCAAATCAAAGCGGTGACCTTGAACGAGACCTTAACTCAACATACCGTGCCTCGAAAGCATGTGACATCATTTCTTATAAACCATATTCTTTCTGTTGTTAAGTGATCATGACCCCCTCGTCTTTCTTTTGTTGCTCTAAGTAACGTTTACCAGACCGTAATGATTAAAAATGGTTTCGCGCGAATGAAGTCTGCAAGTTAGAACGAAGGACATTCACATTCGAGTCTCGTGTAATAGCGGGCTACATACTCACCGACAAAGAACTATTTATTTTGAAATATTATATTTCATCCGACACAAGGCCAAAAGGGAAAGTAAGGCCGGTAGTCACTGACTATCCTACAACTAGCTAAGCTGATTTATGACCCATCTATTCTTACAATTGATTCAGTCACCACAAGAACTCATAATCCTTGCCTTCAGTTCATCTTTGGTGTTACAAGTTTTGTTGGTCACTTGCTTAACTGTCCCTACACATAATAATTAAGTTGGGGTGAATCTTAGGGAGTTAGGTAGACAGATATAAGGGGTAATGAGGTTG